CTGTATAGGTAAACTAATATGGTGGACCTGGTGAAGATGTTTAGATGGAAAAACATGTGAGAGTCTGCTGCTAAATGTGCCAGAAATGAGCGAAAAATGAGTAAGACAACTCTTGAGTAAATAAAGATGGAGCTCAGCATTCAGACACACGACTTTTGCAAAACTGATAGATCACAAAATTTACTGTTTCAACATTTTTTCCACTCGTCTAACACTCAAAATATTTATTACTCACATTTTAAGTGAGAGAGACACTTTTGTGTTTGTTAAGGTCAGTCGGCTGTGGCAGCCTTAGGGCTGAAACATGGATGAATTTTAACAAAACGAACATCAGTTCCACAGGATACAATTATACAATTTTTTTCCTTTTGATTTTTTACCTGGTTTACTGAGATGCATCAGGATAGTTCCACAGGAGTTTTGGTAAAATTCATCAATGCTATGAAAGGTGGGCACGAGTGAAATAGATGTAATGGAAATGGAAACATGCAGGAAATACTGTATTAGGTTAAAATTGGCTCCTGGAAGGACCATATTACTTACTTACTTAACTTACTCCTACTTTACTTTACTTACTTACTTATATTGGAGCAGAGAATACACCCCATTGATTGTTTTTCTCGAATAGTTGAGCTCAAAATGTTTGAAATTGTAGCATTCTGCTTGAATTTTAARAAACACAAATGGGCACTTCTGTCTTTCTCTGCAGCTTTACCCCTCAACAGGAAATTATATCTTCTCTCTAATTTGCATGTAGATCTGCGATTTGTGTTTGCAGTTAAACAAAGCTCTTTGTCAAGGTTGTCACACCTTCTCACAGCTCATTTGTTTCCTGAAAYGGGTCAGAATTCTTCGTTTTTATTTTTGCAACAATAAAGAAGCTAAAGATCAGAGTAAAGATGTCTGTTTCAGAGCGCAGTGGTTGTAGCTCAGGATTTTCACCTGACCTACTTAAGTTAGTCGAGGGTAAAACTTTCTTTTATCCTTTTTTTCCCAGCTGCCCTTGCCGTGCTTCGTCTCTGTTTAATAAATGCTGCTGGTGTCTCTTTACATCCTGTCCTCAGCAGCAGATAGAGCACCCTTTGCTCCAGACAGCGAGGGACTCCACACAGCAGAGCCTTTGTGCTCTGGAAATGTAGCTTCCTCTTCTTGTCAATAGCTGCCACAGTTCAGAGCAGTGACACTGTCCTGTTTTATTGAGCTGATGTGGCTGGGTTGGGAGGTTCTCCTGCAGGTTCCTCTGATATAATTCAGTTTGGATTCAGACAGCAGACCATTAATGCTCACAGCCTGTGGACAAGAAAGCAGAACAGAAACTATCACTTCATAGATATGGTGTTTGATAGCAGCCAGGAAAAAATAGAACAGAGTTTTTCTCAAAATAAGCTTGAGTTACAACTAAAAATATCTAGTTATAAACTTTATCACTTAGGTCAAAGTATTTGTGGYTTAAACATGATTTAGAATGCCTTGTAATCTTTTGACAATCAAGACAACAAGATTGACTTCATGCCTGTTCAATCAAAACCTCTGACAGCAACAGGATTAATTTGATTTGGCTCATTTAAAAAAAAGAAAGAGAGTAGATTAACTCTGGGTTTGAACTACACTAATGGTTTTAAATGTTCCTTTTCAACCTCTAATCCCAGTAATTATAAAGGATTTGTTCTATGTWTTTGAGTTGTGAGATCTCTGAAGTATTTCAACATTCTGTAGGCTGATACAGCAATTAAATGCTTTGTGGATTCATGTGACGACGGCGTAGACCAAGGGCTATAAAACTGCTGGCCATATCCGGTCTGCAAGTGACCTCCGTCCAGCCCACTAATGAATACCTGCCCCCCAAAAATAATAATTTTAAACTTCATTTAATATGAAAATATATTTCAAATCCTTTGTAAATTTACAATTATGTTTCAATGCAACAAAATAAACTAATTTAAAAGATAATAATACTTGTGTTGATACATGCTGCAGTGATTTACCAAACATTAATGGACAAGGGGTGTGGGGTGGGGGTCTGGTCCCCGAGCTGTTGGCCTTAAGTAACCATGACCCCCATGAATCAATTTACTTGAATAGCTCTGGCATAGATCCTCATTTTGATATTTTATACCAACCTGTAGCTGGGTTTAAAGGGGCAATATTATGTGTTTCTCAGGCATATGTTTAAATACTATACCACAATAAAGTATCTATGTCACCTTTAGCTGTTTTTAAAATGCTGTTTTATGTTTAAATAGAAAATAAACGTATCTTCTCATCACTTCCTCTTCTAAACCCTTTGAAATTGGCCTCTGTCTCTTTAAGAACCACCTTCTGCTTCCCTCCCATGGGTTTCAGGGGGTAGGTGGGGGGGGGGG